ACAGACAGACGATAGATAGATAGATAGATAGATAGATAGATGGATAGATTAATTGATTCATTAATTGATTCATTAATTGATTGAATGTGTTTGTCTGTGTATTATAGTGCCAGATGAAGCGCCTATCATTTTGAACATCAAACCTTCAACCACAACATCTGTGATTGTCCAGTGGCAGGTAAAACACTGTAAAACAAAGAGTTAACAAGACTTTTTTTCAAAAACATCTTTACCATCCCAAATTTTTGAACAGTAAACCTTGTTGCAGTGTGTTATGGGATTGCCTTATCATCAAAACATTGTCTAAATGTTGGAAGAGTCCTCATGTGGAGAGCACGCCTGTGATGCTTACAATGCCCACTAAGTTTTGAAACAGCTTTAGCATGAGTAGGTGTCACAGGAACTTTTCCTGTCTTTCCATTTAACTGAAGGTTCAGGGGTTCAAATTGTCCAACAACGTTTAATAGCAGACTTGTGTGCAGAGTATTCCGCTGCACCTCTCAATGTTAATTATGTTTGGCAAGCAGGTTCTTAGCCTTACTCTTTACCCTCTAATTAGTTAGCAGTCATTTCACGTACCTCCTCTATCTATTCACACACATATGGATACATTTACAAAGCTGGCCTGTTTTGACCCCATCTTAATTAACTTTGCCTATAACACTGATCACATACTAAATAAGACACGTCCATAATAGAATAGGAGTGAGAACGCATGTTAGAGTGAGTCAGAGTAAGAACAACCAGATCAGGCCTTTACTGACCTGTGGTCTCGGCTAACTTGTCCTCTGTTGATCTGTGCTATCTCCTGGGCTGACGTGCAATGTGCGGTAATTACTTTCTGTCACCGTCTCTAAATGCTAATTAGCCGGCAGCAGACAGCATAGGCACTGTCTTTAACATTCTTTCATTAAGTAGCATCACAGGTCATATGCTGAAATGTCAGGTGAATATTTCCTAGCCTGAGTTAAATGGAGTAATTAAAACGGCAGTTTGCTACTTGGAGACTGACTGAAACTCGATATGTATCTGTGTCTGCAGCCGCCTGCAGAGGGAACTGTCAATGGGATTCTTGTGGGATATCGCGTGTATTACTGGGAACTTCCACGTGAAAACAGTCCAGACGAGCCAATGACAGCAACCAACCAATCAACAATCAGTCCGGAGTTCAGAGGTTAGTCTGTCTGTCTGATTGTCTGTAGTTCTGTCTAACTGTTTGTCCGTCGTTCTATCTATCGATCTGTCTGTCATTCAGTTGATCTATCAGTCTGTCTTTCTGTCGTTCTATTTAGCTGTCTTCCTGCTTGTCTGTCTCTGTCTGTTGATCTATCTATCTATCTATCTATCTATCTATCTATCTATCTATCTATCTATCTGTCTGTCTGTCTGTCTGTCTGTCTGTCTGTCTGTGTCTTTCTGCTTTTCCCTTCACAGCTAGAATTTTTGTTTATAACTGAAATTAATGTTTTGAATTAGATTTTTTGTTAATAGGTGAAATGTGTTGTTTTTCATAATGATACCATATTGCTAATATTTTTTTTTTCCAGTTATAAATATATTTTGTCCATGTTGCGCTACTTTCTGTTTCAGCTGACTGTTTTGTCTTCTGTGCATATTAAACATTGTCCCTTGTGTAATTTCTCTCTTATTCTCTTTTCCTCTCGCTCTCTGGGTTTATTTCACAACTCAAACAGCTAAGAGCACTTTTAAGACAGTGAGCAGCTTATTCTCTTTTCCTCTCGCTCTCTGGGTTTATTTCACAGCTCAAACAGCTAAGAGCACTTTTAAGACAGTGAGCAGCCCTTCATTAACAGAATTTGAATTAACGCGTAAGTATATTTTGATATTATTTTAATTGCTGAGTTGTTTCAATAGTTGTAATCTTTGAAGTGTTAACAGAGTCACATTCAAGCCCGACGGCTTTCAAACTCCCTGTTCTATCCTCTGATCTCCTCTACCGCTATAACAAACAGTTCCCCTAGTCTTTGCGCTTTGTTGTTTTGCCTCTGGTCCTGTCACTATTTGCTGTGAGGAAGGGGAAAAATGTAAATCTATTTTGTTCTCCACCTCATTTCCACATCCTTTATCTCATATCCATGTCCCTCTTCCGTCGCCTAATTTTACATTTTTGGGGTCTTTTTCTCTGCATTTCTCTAAACTAGTACCTCAAAACTCTTTGACTGCACCTTCCATCTTATTTTTCTTCATCTTTATTGGTGTATTTCAGAGCTCAGCAAGTACAGACGATACACGATTGTCATGACAGCATTTAATGTTGTTGGAGAGAGCCCTTCAAGTGCACCTGTTGAGGTGTTTGTGGGAGAAGCAGGTATGTTTTTATGCCTTATTAAGATCACTGCTATGGCTCAGCTCTAAAACTTGGACCACAAACTTTGGGAAACCCAGAGTGCTTTTTTGAAGTGTAGTTGTTTGATTTTAAATCTAATATCTGATCATCAGACTTACTTGGTCTGGTCTGAGCACTTAGCGCTTGGGTAATGTTAACGAGGAATGCATTTGCACACAAGTGATAATTGAATGTTATATGCAATACTTCCTCAAAGTCACACAACCTGTTTTATCTAGTTATGAGCTGTATGGAAAAGAAAAGTGAGACTTGAATCATGCAATGTTGACCAATTATCTGCACAACCCATTAGACAACGCGCAATGGATCCATTTGCGTGACCTATTGATAATGTATCACAGACCAGTTTCCACTATGCAGCGCAGATAAATTTCACCAGCGATGTGCTGTCTGGCATGGTATTAATACGAAAACAATCGGTTATGTCTTAAGTGAAGGTAAACAGACATCAGAAATGTGTCAAAATATAAGTTCTATGCTTTACCTCATTGTGTAAATATAGATAGGAATCGCTGTAATTATATACTCCCTATATACAAGAGCTTTCCTGAATGCTGTATAAAAGACTGACTAAATGACCTCTCTTCAGTCTATATGGCTGAGTTTGTATGTGAACGTGTGTCGCAGTACATGTCAAACCAAATTTGATTGTAATCTCATCTGATATGTAGAGCATTATGAAAGCCCATTACCTAAGCTAATTAAAAAAATGAGCCATGTGCACAAATCAGATTAGTTTGCACATCTGACCTCTCCCAAAGATCCGAATAAGGGGCACATCATTAAATATAGCATCCCTCTGGCATGACTTTAACACATAAAGACAACAAGGCCATCTTAATTACATATCTTTCATTATAGGAGTGTAGAATGAGCTGAAATGAGGATTTGACACATACAGCCCAAAGTAACACAAACTGACCATAACATGAAGCAACAGATCTATGAACTATAATATATGTGTGTTATGCAACGTAGTACAAATATGTACTATAAAAATAAATATTAATTCATAAATAATTAATATTGTTGCTACATGAATGTATTATGAAAATTGTATAATAAATAAATATTCATAACTATTTTACAGGGTTTCATCTTTTTATTAATTTATGCCCACCAAGGCTGCATTTATTTGTTCAAAAATACAGTAAATACAGTAATATTATGAAATATTATTAAAATTTGAAATAATCTCTTCTATTTTAATATATTTTCAAATGTAATTTATTCCTTTGATGGCAAAGCTGAATTTTCAGCATCATTACTGCAGTCTTCAGTGTCACATGAGCCTTCAGAAATCATTGTAATATGCTGATTGGCTGCTCAAGAAACATTTCATATTATTATCAATGGTATAATATTTTTGTGGAAACTATGATCATTTTTTTTCTGGATTCATTAATGAATATAAAGTTCAAAAGAACAGCATTTATTTGAAATAGATATCTTTTGTAATATTATAAAAGTCACTTTTGATTAATTTAATGTATCCTTGCTGAATAAAACAAACACAATATAATGCATAAATCACATACTCTGTTGAATAGTTTAGCACCACAATAGTGACTACATGAGAGAAAAAGGAAAACACCAAAAACTTGTTCTTGAATGAAAAGCTAAAGTTTTATAAGACATTATGTTTTACACAGTTCAGTGTGTCAATAAATCACTAAACCTCTTTCCTTTCCGTTTAGTCACTGTCCATTGTGCCACAGAGAAATGTCATTTGACATTTGGCCTTTATATGAGACAGATACTGTGGTCTATGAAGTAAATGGTTTTCCTTCTGTAGTAGTCTCATCCCGTCCGCTGTTGACACATGCACATTTGATTTGTTTGTTGCTCTATTTAAAATCATACATTTGTGTGTGTGTGTGTGTGTGTGTGTGTGTGTTCACAGCTCCTTCAGTGTCTCCTCAGAACATACAGGTGAAATCTGTGTCCTCTAGTCAGCTGGATGTAGAGTGGCAGCCTCCACCTGTCGAAACACAAAACGGAAATATTCAAGGATACAAGGTGATGATAATTTCTTTTACCCACATACATACACAAAATATGATCCGTACAATTCACAAATATTTTAGGAAGGCATAAGATGAAAAAAAAAAAAAAAAAAGTAAAATGCATTTCAAATATTTATGTTTACATAAATAGTGGAGACAGCTGCAAGAAGGCATCCTGTGTGAATGGCCATAAGACATTAGGTATTAATAATTATAATTGTTTATTAAATTCTGTGTTTTTAATTGTCAAATGCATATTTACACCAATAGAAATGACCCATAATTCCCATGCACTCGTTGTGTTTGTCACGTTGTACACTCTGGGTTGATCATTTTAATGCATGAATACATAATGTTCAGTTGTTTAATCAGTTGTGAGCTCTGAATTTGATGAAAAGTGTTTCCAAAATCAGTCAGGCAGTCCATCTGTTTACCGGCATAAATAAACTGTCGTTCATCTGCAGTCTGTCTTCCCTTATCTCACTGTCATCTGTTGATTTCACCGCATTAGCTTCCACCGTTGTTTTCCTATTTACGCCATCTGTACATCTGTCTCTCATAGAGATTTGAACAGGAAATGGTTATGAATCCTTCTGTTCTGTCCACAAACACACAAAGTATCAATTCAAGGATATACATATTTCATTCAAGTCTAATTTTAGTGTGTGTATGTGTATTTAAAGGATTAGTTTCCCAAAAATGAACATTTTGTCATCATTTCCTCACGCTCATGTTGTTCCGAATTCATATGACTTTTTTTATTTACATTTTTTTTTTTTACCTTGGAACACAAAAGAAGACATTCTTAAAATGTACTTAGTTGCTTAATGAATGGACAATGCAGTAAACTTCCAAAATATAGCACATATATTATAAAAAATATATCATAAATATAAGAATATACACTAATTGGGGTCCATATTATTTTTTAAAGAAATTAATACTTTTATTCATCAAAAACATATTAAATTGATCAGAAGTGACAGTAAACCTTTATAATATTAGAAAAGATTTCTATTTCAAATAAATGCTGTTCTTTTGAACTTTCTATTTACTAGAAAATCTTGATAAAATATATATCACGGTTTCCACAAAAATATTAAGCAGCACAGTTTTCAGAATTGATAATAAGAAGAAATGTTTCTTGAGCACCAAATCAACATATTAGAATGATTTCGCAAGATTTGGCGAATAGAAACAAGTCCAAGTCTGACTAAGCCTTTGATTAAAAAATGCTGTCATCATTTCCTCACCCTCAAGTTGCTCCAAACTTGAGTTCTTTCTTTTGTTGAACACAAAAGAAGAAAATTTGAACAATGTTGTTAACCAAACAGTTGCTGGTAGCCATTGACTTTCATAGTTTGTTTTTTTTTCTCAATAATATGGACGTCAGTGGCTACCAACAACTGTTTACTCGCATTCTTCAAAATATCTTCTTTCGTATTTAACAGAAGAAAGAATTCAAGTTTAGACCAACTTGAGGGTGAGGAAATGACAGAATTGTAATTTTTTGGGTGAACTATCCCTTTAATGTTCTATGTTCAAGTTTTGTTGATAGCATTAGTGACATTTTTTAACAAAAAATGTGTTTACTGTAATGCACTGACAAAGGAAAGTTTAAGATGTAAGACAATGCAGTTTAAAAGCAGAAATGTACAGCTCACGTTTTTTAAAGCACTTTAATAATTATTACTGGAACACTAAATCGTCCTTTTAGCAGTGCAAGTACTTTTTAGGCATATGTACAGATGTCATTCCTTCATCAACTCTTTTCATTTGAATTGTGATTCTGATCATATCATTTGTACAGACAAAAAGTGTTTAAAGAACAGAAGCATATTTATTTTGACTGTTTTTGATCCCTCTATATGTACATAGTTTAAAAAACTTGAGGTTGTAGTATTTTTCTACAGTTTTGAAAGAAGTCTCTTATGCTCACCAAGTCTGCATTTATTTGATTAAAAATACAGTAAAATATCATTAAAAAAATTACAATTTAAAGTAACTGTTTTCTATTTGAATATATTTGAATATGATTTATTCTTGTTATGGCAAAGTTCAATTTTCAGTCTTCAGTGTCACATGATCCTTCAGGATTTGGTGCTCAAGTAACATTTCTTATTATTATCAAAGTTAAAAACATGCTGCTTAATATTTTTGTAGAAACTGTAATACATTTTTGGATTTCAGGATTCTTTAATTATTAATGTCTTTACTGTCATTTTTTGATCAATTTAATGCATCCTTATTGAATAAAAGTATTAATTAATAAAAAAAAAAGTATCTTACTGACTCCAGATTTTTTGTTATGTATATACTTTATATTTAGAAGAAGTGTATGCTAGAATGTTTTTGAGATTTTTAACTTCTCTCAATCTCTCAAGCTCCTGGAGCACCCAGCCACGTGGTGTTTTCGGAGGTGACAGGAAGCTCCCTGAATGTGTCATGGGGAGCTCCTCTGCAGCCCAATGGAGTGGTGGAAGGCTACAGAGTGGTCTATGAGCCCACCGCACCAGTTCATGGTGAGCAGGATATAAGGAAGAGTAAGAGAAAACATGCAGTAAAATCATTATTCAAATTGAAATGAACAAAAAAAGAGTATTGAATTAAATGTTTTTAGTTTTGAGTACAGGTATATGTTATTCAGTATTCATAAAGTCCCTTCTTTTGACAGGTGTCAGTAAGACAGTTACAGTGGAGATCAAGGGGAACTGGCAACGCTGGCTGAAGGTTCGTGACCTGATGAGGGGTGTGACCTATCGCTTCAAGGTTCAAGCCAGAACTATTAGTTACGGACCCGAACTGGAAGCCAATATCACAGCAGGACCAGTGGAAGGTATGTGTAAATATGAATAATAATGCATAATAATACTTCCATAATAAATCCCACAATAATTGGGGAAGAAAGAAACATCCCCTGCAGTTACAGACACCAGCGCTGGAGGCTTTCTTTGGATTCAGTTAATTGTTGAATATGAAATGACTGCATATAACTAGTGCTTTTCTAAAATAAAACACTTTTCTCAAACCTGGGACCTACCAGGAAGATGGCATTTCATTATTTTAATTCTTAGAATTAGTTGAAGATGGAAATTAAAATAGGGCTGTGTGAACTTCATGGTTTGATTAGTGCACTGTAATAGGAATGTGATTTCGTGTAGCCTTTGAGCAACTGTTCATTCTCAAGACACAGCGCCTTCATTGAGGAGGGACGCTGGGCCTCACACAGACCGCCTTCAGTTTAAAATGTTCTTCAGATGAGGTGCAGTTGATTCATGTAGGAACGGTGGACTCTGAGTGGTCGGTATGGATTATGAAGGAGTATGAGCTCATGTAATTGGCCAAAATTTTGAGCAAACAATACAGTGTCACTAGCATATATTCCATGGTACTAAATGTTTCATTCATATACCGTGGTATTAACATGGTACTCCAGGGTACGCTACCAGTCTAAAATGTGAACACATTAGAGTAAATGTATGTTTCTGGTAACCTTAAAGACCGTAAGTGGAATGTAGCTTTGTAGATAAAGACATGTCTCTACAGAATTTCTTTGCACAAAAAAGTAAATAAATAATCAAAAATATATATATTTTTTTAATTAATTAATTAGTGGATGAGTAGGACCAAATAGCAAAGCAAATGCAGCAAATGAGTTTCCAATATAAAAATATAGGTTAATTTTGTACTTATAAATGTCTGTACTATGTTTGTTTGTTGATGAGTAAGACCAGGTAGCAAGGCAAATGCAGCCAACAAGTTTCCAGTATAAAAATGTTAACTTTCTTCTTAACACTAATTTAAATAAAAAATAAAAAAAAATGATTGATTGACTGACTTGCTAACTTATATATATACACACACACACACACACTCATCCCCTGAAAATTTAAGTAAGCTAGCAAGTGTATTTAAAATGATTGATTGACTGACTTGCTAACTTATATATATACACACACACACACACACACACTCATCCCCTGAAAATTTAAGTAAGCTAGCAAGTGTATTTAAAACAAATTTCTTTACAGAACAAAATGTAATTAATTTTCAAATGTATGTATATATACAGTATGTGTGTGTGTGTGTGTGTGTGTGTGTGTGTGATAATAATTGTTTTCATTGATTGTGTAAATAAAAAAAAAATACTGAATGTTTACGTAGATAAGTAAACTTTTGACTTCAAAAAAGTACTTAAGAAATACCATGATTTTACCATGGTACATATCCAAATACTATGGTAATACTATAGGAATTTTTCCTAGTGATATGAGTATTTTGGTTGATGATTAGTCATTGGCACAGGAAAAATAAATCGAGAAAGAAAACATTCTGTATCTGTGTTACAGAGAACAAGTAAATTAAAACATGACATTTACCATCAGCTAGTTTATTTAAAAGGTGAAAGGATTTGTGGGAAATGAAGTGTGTTAACAGTATACGGAATGTGAGTGTTGTCAGGTCACAGTGGCCAATAAAGAACATGTTTTGAAGAAGATATATCCCTACAGCTTCAGTGTGACCTTTATGCAGTCTAAACCACTTTAGAACAGCAGCGCTGCCTGTCTTAAGATCCTTAGTTGCAAGCAGTAGAAAGTAGTTATTCAGTTATAAAAAATTCATCATTTTCCTTCCATCAGCCTAAATTTTGAAGCCTGTACTGCAGTCTGAACTGTTATGATTGATAAAAATGGCCAGAACCATTTTAGGAACTGCGGTTTGTGCTGTTATTGATTATTCAGAAAGGAATAATATGCCTTATATTTCATAGGCTCCCCCAGTTCGCCCTTGCAGACCTCAATCACAAAGTCTGCATCAGCTTTGACGCTTCATTGGTCAGAGGGCACAGAAGGGGCGGGACCTGTCACAGGATATGTCATTGAGACTCGTCCATCAGGTAAGCAGCACTTCCTAGTCCGTCTGCTGACTTCACATCTACCCCTGACTTCCTCATTATAAGTTCTTCATCTCGTGCATTACATGGTGTTGCAATACCAGGCTTATTCTCAATTAACCTTCCTCTTTTCACTTCCACCTCTTCCATCTTTCGTCTCCTCTGTGGCAACCAATTACTCCCCCTCCTGCTTTTGAAATCCTGCATTTCCAGATGAAGGATTATGGGATACGTTTGTCAAGCATCTCCCACCTGGCAGCTTCTCGTACACCATCAGTCTGGACCGTCTACGCTCAGGTGTGGCCTATGAATTCCGTGTCATCGCAGTCAATCGTTTCGGTTATGGCGATCCCAGTCCACCTTCCACTGCAATGTCTGGTAATCTTCCTCATTATATCATACCACTGCATTATATTCAACAGTGATGCGAATGACAACCCACTCAACAGACTCTATGTCTGTCCCACAGCTTTGTTTTTGTTTAGGCTACATCACATTAGATACAGTATTTTCCCTGACTAATGTCAATTGCATACTATATCACAATTCAGTTTTCATAATTTTGCTGTTTAGAGTATGGACATTAGTATTCCACTTCATTTTCAAACATCTGGGAGGCATTCTACTTCAGTGAGGATGTTTGAACTGTGGAGCACTATAGACTCACTTTGTGGCCTCTACTGCCATCTAGTGTCACACAGCTGAATATTCACTCATCCATAAGTAAATTAAAAAAAAACTGAAGACTTATTTGGTGCTGTTGAAATTACTACTATTTTTTTTTATATATTATATTATATTATATTATATTATATTATATTATATTATATATGTGTATTTCTGAAAGAATTCTCTTATACACACTAAAGCAAAATACTGTTATCTATTTTAATATTAGAAATCTTTCCAATATGCTGAATTGCTGGTCAATAAACATTTCTTATTATTAATATAAATGTTGAAAACAGTTGTGCTGTTTAATGTTTCCGTGGAAACTGTTATACATTTATTTTCAGGATTTCTTGATGAATAAAAAAAAACAGCATTTATTTGAAACACATCTTTTGTAATATTATAAATGTCTTCACTGTCATTTTTTTAATCAATTTAATGTATCTTTGCTGACTATGCAAATAATTAAGTTAAATAATTAAGTAATACTTTCTTTAAAAAAATGTAATGACCTCGATCTTTGAACTGTAGTGTGTAATATAATATAATATAATATAATATAATAATAAATTTCCCCCTGATGTTTAAAATGTCAACAGTAAAATAGCAATATGTTGTATTGTAATGCAGAATTGTTGTCTGTTGTAGCTCTGTCTGAAACACCTTTCTATGAGGAGTGGTGGTTCCTGATCGTCATGGCTTTGATCAGTCTCATTTTCATTCTGATGGTTGTGTTTGGTTTGCTCCTGTTGGGACAGAACAAGAAGTACAGGAGCTGTGGAACAGGTGAGACTAAACAGAATAATATAAATCGATAATATACTTGTATTGTATTGAAACTGCTTTGAGCACTGAACATTCTGTTTTCATTTACTCACTCTCATGTTGTTCTAAACCTGTATGAATTTGGGCTAATTGTTAAAACCGTAACAGGCAAAATAATGGATATTAAAACTAAAACTATCTAAAGGGTAATTTAGACACAAGAGGGTTTTAGACACTACTATGATGGTATTAATGTGGTATTTTTGAGGTACCAAATGTGGAATATATCAAAGTACTGTCACCTGATACAATCACTGTATCTTATGATACCACCTCAATACTTCTGCTTCCTACACAGTTTCTGGGAGTCTTGCTTTTAAAGATTTTAAGTATTTGTAGTTGCTTCATATGAGTCACTTGTGTAACTGTTGGGGAAAAATGTAATTCTATGAAATACAAAAAAAATGTAATAGCTCATAGTTAATGTAGTTAATCAGTCTACACATCCCAGTGTTTGTTGTCATTACTTGGATGTAATTCCTCCCACAGGAAAACACATTACTACAGTAGAGGAGTCTGTAACTCTTGACAATGGCGGCTTCACGGCTCTAGAGCTGAACAGCAGACATCTGAATGTGAAGAGCTCTTTCCTAAAGAAGAATGGAACAAGGTGGGGTTTCATCTGAACTGCTATTAATGTGCCCCTATTATGGGTAAAGAAAGGTTCATATTTTGGTTTTGGGAGTCCCCAAAAATAGGTTGACATGCATGCAAGGTCAAAAAACACATTCATTGTCTTATAATATGCATTTATTTTTACCTTACTTGCTCAACGACACCCAAGCGATTTGCTCAACGATTCATTTTTCCAAAACCCTCATTTGCATGACGCTAATCTGGTGATTGGTCTCATTTTCATTTCATCATGTCTGTAATGCCTGATAAAGCAGCGTTTGTGAGCGCAGTGCTTCTTTGTGTACAGCCGTTACTGGGTAAAATTAATTCTTTGCCACTAGGTGCCGCTTTTAGAGTGGTAGAAATAGCGGTTTCCCCGGTAACGGCTGTACACAAAGCAGTTTTATCAGGCATTACAGGCATGATGAAATGAAAATGAGACCAATCGGACCAATCACAGCAGATGATGCAAAGGAGGGGTTTGGAAAAATGAATCGTTGAGCGAATCGTTTGGGAGTTGTTGTGCAAGTAAGGTAAAAATAAGTGCATATTATAAGACAATGAAAGTGTTTTTTGACCTTGCATGCATGTCAACCTGTTGTTGGGGACTCCTAAAACCAAAATATGAACCTTTCATTACCCATAAAATTAATCAAATTAAAATTTATCACCACGTACAATTTTTCTTGAAATAGCTCTTCTGTGGATATGTGCGAGCAGCTTGTAATAATGTTATGTTATCTCCAGATCTCCTCCACGGCCCAGTCCAGGTGGTCTGCACTACTCTGATGAAGACATCTGCAACAGCTACAACGGGGCTGCTTTAACAGAGAGCACCACGCTTACAGAGAAACCCACTGAGCTGTCAGAGTCAGAGGTGAACACACTACACCAATAACGCATGACTATAAACAACTTCCATGGGGGTACGACGGAGTTTTAGAGAAATCTTATGTCTTAAAGGGGTCATATGATGTTGCTAAAAAGAACATTATTTTGTGTATTTGGTGTAATGAAATGTGTTT